ATGATTTTCTAACTACTTCATGAGTTTGAGTCTTTGAGATTCATTTTACGAGAAGAAAATGATAATGAAGCATTTGGCTCGCCATGGATCGATGTGTGCACCAGGTAGCTGGGACACTTTTTCGGAAAACGCTCGGGTTTTACATTCGCAAAGGCTTCGGAAGACTTCGAGAGCTGTCGCAAAGTACGAAAGTGAAACGAAAGTACTTTTGTAGCTGTCGACTGAGGTTCGGCTTTGGTGACATCAACATCTTACGGATTACTTGCGTATAATTTCGAGCAAAAAATTCCGTAAACCTTGCTACGTCTGGCCTTAATGTTTTTGTTTTGGTGTCTTTGCTGGTAACCATACACTGCGAAATACCTCGTAAAGCTGTGCAAAAGACAGAAGAAGGTGTTCATGTTGAACTACAGGAATGAAGGCTTGTTGACTTTGTAATCAGTGTAAGCTAAATCGAGCTTTAAGAACCAACTTTCAAGAAAAAAGCTGAATGAAAAGGATTTCGGGATGGCGTTGAAACCTCATAAGCTCTTATATTTTGCAATAATTTTGATGCCAAGTATTACAACATGGAAGAACTCGATAAACTTCCAGGAGACATGGTAGAAAGCTTATACAAAGCAGCTGAGGACACGCTGCCAGATTCTGTTATGATATTAAAAGGCTACTGTTGCAAGAAACCCTTGCACTCAAGAGACTGGAGCTGTCAACTAGTAATGCTGTTGTAAGTTATAACCTATCTGACAAGTTGAAGAATGGAACAAGAGGAAGAATTATATATTTTTATTTGAAAATGGACCAATTGTAAACTTTTATTAAGCCTAAATAGCTATTAAATATCAGATAAAGAAATGCACAATCACAACAGCAATTCAGCAACACAAAATACGTGCACAAAAGTGCTGTTGGTTCACATTATACATCATGGAGTACTAATTGCATGGCTGTAGTGTAGTGGTTTGCAGTGCAGTAATTTTTGCTATTGTTTACTGTATCTGTCAATACTGACATCTGCAACTTACRGTTTGTTTTTACTCCAAAGCCTCTAGTTTCAAGCATTGACAATCTCAATTTCATGCTGTATTTTTAGCAAACCAATCACGAATCGGAGTAATATGATGTGTTAATCTGTAATGGGCTCTTATTGTTGTTGTTTTTTTCATTAATTGTTACTTGATCATCAATAGTAACAACTTCTTAATAAATCTTTCTTGAAAATGTTTTTAATATCATGAGAATATATACTGAGCTGATGTTTATAATATCATTTTAAAAGTATTTTCTCTGCCAAGAAAGAAAAACATATCAAAGAGGACAAAGCCTGATGGGAAGCTTTCAATGAATCCTGATGCATGAGATTTCACCATGAAAATATAATAGAAAGCATAAAGACAAGATTAGCTGGATGGGAAGCTATCAATCAACAAAAAATACTGCAGGTTTACAGATGTTATTACTTGCTTGGTATTGGGGTTGTTTGCTCTTGGGCCAAAAAGTAACCTTGAAAAATAATAAAAATATTGTTCATAGATATACTGGCAAAGTGTGGTGGTGTGGATGGCAAACCATATCCGCAACAAATCAATCCACACTGTGGACATTAATTTTAGACTTTGTATTCTCCAAAGAATATTGACATAAAATATGCATAATGATACCGTTTTTTTATAATCTTGATTGCATTTTTTACAAAGTTTGGTTTAGAGCCAAAACGTTCTTGACTTGAATGTGGGTCTGTTGTTTAAGAACTTATAAGCCCTTCTTCCTTTTTTTATAGAATTTACCTACAGCTTCAAAACATTTGTAGCTCCTGACTACTTTAGACTCTTGATATAGAGTTCAAACAAAAGTTTCCCAGCAGCATCACTCAATATTTGTACTTGATGAAGAACAGCGAATACATATTCAATTTTAGCCTAACTCGATTTTCAGTTCAAGAATTAGTAACAACTTTTTTAGACAATTATTTTATATTCTTAGCCCTTAGTAATAATTCCTGCTATCTGAGGAGCATGTAAACTATTTTGTCAAAAATTTCACTCGTGAGCCACCCTTTTGTTTTAATATTAACTTGAATAGTCATGGGTCATGTGATGACACTAAGGAAAATCATTTCAACTATTRTGTGTAGTATCTTTTCTATGTTGAACCCAAGATTCAACATTTAGTATATCAAGAAAGTTACTGAAAAGACAAAATGTAAAGAACTTGTTGCTTTTTGAAATAATTTATTTTATTACCTCCTAATTGATTTTATCTCAGAGTGTACATAAATATAAACATACAGTACAGATAAAAATAATATACTGCTCAAAAATAAGTGCACTTTAATTTAAACCTTTTTGACATTCTACTTGAGGTCCTTATTACACAGCTGCATGTTGTGTGAGCACGTCGTAAAGAGTAAACAACAACATGGCAAAAACAAAATTCTTTCAACCAACAACAAGTGGCAAAAACTATCATTGTCATTCAAGAGCATAAAAGTAAGAAGACTAACAATGTGTTGTACAAGGACTCGGCAGAGTGTAAAGATCATCCCACAACATTTGTTAAGACTATTTAGTTCACCGTCCTTGCAAATTTGAGTAACGTAAGGGCCATTCCATTTTTTATACACACCCCCCCTATATATGTTTTTTTCTGAAGGGTATTCAGGGTAGGCAATTTTCTTAGGGGTGCATGGCAAAAGTATGATTTTCTGAAGGGTAGTTTAGTAAAAAGTCAATTTTTCGTAGGGGCACAAATTAAAATCACCATTTTCTGAAGGGTAGTTTAGTAAAATTGCATTTTTTCTTAGGGGTACAAATTAAAATAACTATTTTCTGAAGGCTTTTTAGCACTTAAAAAACATTTTTCTTAGGGGTTTTTAGAAAAATTGGCCGTTTTTCTGAAGGCTATTCGTATAATTTTTAGTAATTTTCTTAAGGGTTCAAACTAGCCAAAAAACCATATATAGGGGGGGGTGTGGATATAAAATGGAATGGCCCTAAAAGTACAACGTCTTGTTGGTCCTGTTCGGCAAACTTTTATGACTTTTCGTTCCCTCTTCGCAAAATGAGAAGTCCACTTGACTTGTCCCAGTAAGTGCGACTGATAATTCATTCTTTCTTTCTTGTAAGTAAGCGGTATAAGTTCGATTTTGTCGGTAAAATATTGGAGTCATTTAGAAAACATTCGTACGTATCACACGCCATGCGTTTCCGACCTACGTTCGGTGAAAGTTCGCCGACCCGTCGAATCTTCGTTTTCCGAAAAAATGTGCCCAGCTACCTGGTGCACACATCGATCCATCACGTGACCAGTGTTTCATACCTTGTCACAGACTAGTATGTAGTCGCGAGGCGCGAGATAGTGACGTAACACCACAGGTAACCCGCATTTTTGCTAAGAGCGCGCGCCGATACATATACATAATAAAAGCGTACGCATTCGTTCTTTTCTGTCTCTAATGCATTAGTTGGGCGGCCTATGGCATTTGTGGGTCATTTGTTAGTCTCCTTCGCAGCCTCCCCTTTTGTCGGGCTTCCTGTTTGGGACAGGAAGCCCGACAAAAGGGGAGGCTGCRAAGGAGACTAGTCATTTGTGGGACAAGCGCGAACTTTCGATTCCTGCGCTTTCTTCTGATTGGATAATCGCACGCTCGCACTTGATTTGTCGGATCTATGAATTAACACATATTTGCCATTTTTGTATTATATCAACAGCCTATAAAAGTAAAATGTGTGTGTCTCTTTTGCTTCTATTCTTCTTACAGCTTAAAAATACTTCCATCTTCCATGAATTATTTCATCCACCTTAAAAGCTTGAAAATAATGAAAAGTCGAGTAGAGGTTGTCGTACGACTTCCATATATGKATGTCCATATGCATGGCTCTGATGTACCTATAGAAGGCTCTCATGTCCCTATAGATGGTTCATTAATTATATATTCAATCTTACGTACACATACGTGGTTATTCATGCATGCTGTTGCATAAATACCACAACAATTCAGGTTTATTCAAGCAAATTGGTCTCATGGCTTAATGGTTAGGTTTATAGGGATAATATCGGGTTAGGCAATGCATAGCGCTGGTTTGAATCTTAGTACATGTCCTTCAAAAATTTCTTTTCAGTTTAAGTTTAAATCTTTGAAAATTTTCTAAGTTCTTCTCCACAAGATTGGGACAAGAGAGCTTTCTATGTGCACATCAGCACTGTACATGTAACAAGTTACCATATATGGAAGTCGCACAACAGCCCCTTCTCGAAAAGTCAGAGTACTCACATGAATCTTGAACTGCCATGTATTCCAGTTTAAAGACTTGCTTTGCTTTATTACTTGGACTGGTAAATATCAGTTTTAGATAATTGCCAGTAGAAATGGTCAAATTTCTTGGTACATTGCTACCACAATATCTTGCAACTAGATCATCACCATCAAAGACGTCTAGATTATCAGTTTCATTTGTACAAGCTCCACTGGTCCCAGTAGTATCAAAGCTAACAATCTTTAACTTCACATTCAGGGAGTTGTAACGAGATTCAATTTTCCAGGAACACTTTACAGATGGATTGTAGCTAGCAGGGTAGTTAGGACTTGTTAGAATCTTGGATGTTCCTGCATCAGCATAAAGAGTGGAAAGTCCACAACCTAAACCAAGATAATAAACAAGCAATATTATGATGTCATAGCTTAGGGCTACCTGAATGCTTCCCACTTTATTCTTTTTTGTAATGTAATTAATCCCAACTGTTTTCCTAATCTCCTAAGGGATTAAAGACCTGAATAACAAAGAAAATGCCTAAGGATTTTTGGGAATTGTAATAAATGATCAGGTGTGGATTTAAGCGAACAACCACMAGAATGATCATCAAAATTACAACTTACTTGCTGATGAACTCTGGACAATGCCCAACAATACTGAAAACGTAATGTTTTAATAAAATATATATGATTCAATTGATGTAATCACTTGAAATTTGTAAATTTCATTCAATGTACTTAATTTTTGGTATTTGATTAAATTATAACATTTAAATATTTTTAAAAGCACTTTTGTCATCAATGTGAAGAGACTCAAGAAAGACAAGACTAAAGAAAAGAAAAGGCAGACCATGCAATGCTGCCATTATTACACATATTTATATCAAAAATTTTTTAGATTGTCTGACAAAAACCTGATGACATCTAGACTACATCATTTTTAACAGCTTGCATGTGGCTAATGTAAATTCACTGGRTTATGATACGAAGTTGATCTGCCATTTGTATGAAAAGAAATTGTAATAAATGGCAGACAGCATGTGCCAGCCTTCAGACTTTTCAAAGCATAATAAATTTGAGGACCTTTGTGTGATAAACTTGTCCTTATATTTCAGCGCTCCCCATAGGCCGCCCAACTAATGCATTAGAGACAGAAAAGAACGAATGCGCACGCTTTTATTATGTATATGTATCGGCGCGCGCTCTTAGCAAGGCGCGCGATCGTGACGTAATACCACAGGTAACCCGCATTTTTGCTAAGAGCGCGCGCCGATACATATACATAATAAAAGCGTGCGCATTCGTTCTTTTCTGTCTCTAATGCATTAGTTGGGCGGCCTATGCGCTCCCTGTAAATTATAACCTCTATGATAGAAAAACAATCCAGACAAAAAAAATTATAAAACACCAACATAATAAATTGTGAATGTTTCATATGAAACTAGACGATCAGCGATCGTTTACATGGGCTTCCTGTGGTTTATCCCAATCAGTAAATGATATTGAACCCTAATGAAATTAATATCACTAAGACAACAGCAAAAAAAGATTTCCTTTAATGAAAAATAATCAAACAAGCAATGTACTTAGTAGAATTTAATAATACTGTGAAAGAAGTAATTTATGTCTGACGAGCCGTTCAGAGCCGTTACTTTGAGTCGAATCCTTGGCTGTATTAAACACAGATCGATAGTCTTTCATGTTCTTCGCTTAAAATACTTCCAATCCTCTGTTTTTCCTCAGTATAAATCTGTTGACATGTCTTAGATAAGTCCTTGGTGATTGTAGAGCCGGTACTAGTATAAGTTTGCTTTTGATAAGCTATATGTTTGATAGATATTAATTCACGATCGGTAGATTCACGATAAATTCTCGCCGTATCTCTCCAAATGCCCTTTTGAGAAACGCTCGAATCTTTTTAGTGTGGCTATGCCGCGAATGGTGTGTTGATTTGTAAAAGAATCTATCATTCGACATGTTCGATCTGAAAACTTTGCCGGCTATACGAAGGTCCGAAGAAGCACGAGGCGACGTTTGAATCGTTGCTTAGAAACATGAATGACAGTAAGACAATAGATGTCAAAAATGAAAAGGTCCCGGATATAATTTGAAGCATACCACAGACGAAAAACGTCGGTAATTTAAGACATGGTCTTCCTTTGGAAGCCCATGTAATCAATATACAAAATACAGAACATCAATAAAACCATATGTGCATCATGTAAAGATATCTATAAGCAGATTACGTGCCATGCATGAGCACTGCGCGCGCTATTTATGCATTATAATATTATGCATTATTTAACAAATAGATCTCATTTTTCCGTGCGTGTGTACTCTACACACAGATGACGTCAAAATGTAGTGAGAACAAAAAAGTACGCACGAGACGCAGTCTACTCGCCGGTCAACACTTACCGAAAAAAGTAAATGCTGCTTCTACTAGCGCCTTCCTCATGATTTATCATTTGGACTCTGAGAATCGCCAGCAAATAAGTCAACCTTTCGGTACGAGCTGGCCTGAGAGCAGAAACACACCTTTATACGCATACTACAGTGACAGACAAGGTGACAGAATACTGACCGATAGAAAACTGCAGTACCAGCTGGCGGATGGCGGGATACCACTAATCGACCAGCAGCTTAGCTGACTACACTGCCTCTGATCTTGATTAATTCAAAATCATAAAATCAGTAAAAAAATCTTATCTAATCGAATTCATAGAAATTTAGGCCGAAAACTGATATTTTAATGGGTTCTAATTTCGGGTCAGAAGTTATGAACCACTAGCATTAAATTTCGGTAATATGATTTGTGTCAAGAGTTTGTAAACAAACCACCAATCAAAGCTAGTCAGCGCTTCTGGCGTGGTTCTTTGGAAATAAAAATTTTYAAATTAGATGAGGGATTCTGTCTCTTCTGGATTAAAGAAAACAATGCTATTCCTAGATGAAAATAGGAGCGCGCGAATGCCGTGCGTGATGATGTTGACCATGTCTATTAAAGTCGCCACTTTAAGATATATCTAGTTCCTTCAAAAGCTGCTAAAATATTGCATGAAAATTAATCAACAAGGAGTTTCACAAATTTTACTCTTAACACAGTGGCGGATCCAGGGGTTTTCCATGGCTTCCTAGGAACCCCTCTCAAGCATAAAAAAATAAATAAAATAAATGAAATAAATGAAAACGCATCGTACAATGAATTTTTATTAAATACAGTCACGCTACATTTGACATTTGCTACAGTTCGAGAGGCGCAGGAAAAACGTTTGTTTTAGCCGAAAATGCGAAAAGTGGAACCCCCGTTTGAAAACTTTTAAATGAGCTCAATTTGAAAAAGTACTGAATAAGTCAGCACTTTCCAACTCCTTTAGAGTACGAGTACACCCTGCTGTCAGGGTTTAGTCTATCAAGCACCCATGATGAACAGGATTGGTAGGTGTCGTGTTCCCGATGTCACAGGCGCGTTGTGTCGGGCACGGGAGTTCGCCAGATTAACCACCTTAGAGTCGTGAAGGGTAATTCGTGTTTATACGCGTAACGAACTGCCTGTTACACGTKGACTCACTTAACCATTACAATGCGTAAAATCACTAAAATTACTACAGACCGCTATTAGAGTCTATGCCACCTAGTACATTGGAAAACGAACAGACTTACGTCTGATCTTGTCTCCGCGGGATTGGATAGCTACTTAAAGAATCCTAACCAACCATGATACAGGTATTTCTGTCCAAACTGAAAGGACGTAGCCTGTGTACATCCGTTTCTCACCCCTCCAAAAAAATCGGGGAGAGAACGACGTTCTCTCCGTTCTCTCTACGATTTTTTTGGAGGGGTGAGAAACGGATGTACACAGGCTAAAAGGACGTATCCACCTTAAATGGCGCTTCGGCTCGCAAGGTACGACGGTTGGTTGTGATTCTTTAAAGGAAGGCTTCATAAGACTAGTTCACTTCGTTCTTTGTTGCTCCTCTCAGTTTGACTTGACTACACTAAACTACGTTCGTTATGACGTGCTATTATTTTGATACTAAATTCTTCAGCTACAGCGGGTTGGAATTTTTGCCATTTTTGTTGGGGTAAATAGGAAGCGACTAAATTCTTATTCTATTGTAAATTGCAAGAAAAAGCTAAAATTATAGGACTACCACAAGTAGTCGTTGTCACTATAATTAATCTTTACGTTGATTGATAACATGCAATGATAACTAGCTATTGATTATAGTTAAAGTGTTCTTGTTATTTTTTAGCCGTTCCGTGGCTTCTTGACAGCAGGACATAATCAAATCATGTGTACCAACGACTGAGCAAGAATGATGATTCCAATACCTGTAAGAAAAAGAGATTTGTATGACTTATTGAGAATATAATATCGGGCCTGAAAGGGGCCCAGGGAGTGGGGGGAGGGGAAAACGAAAAAATGGCCATCACCGGTAACCAACCAAACTTTCTTTGGACCCCGTGGCTATTGGAGGAGATTCTGCATACATGTTTATAAAATTTTTGATATATAACGCGCGCTTTGATTGGCTGACGACCGTGTCTATATCAGAGGACAGAGACACGGCTTACCGGCAAAATTTTCTTTTCGCTCGAAAAATTTTATAAAAGAAATATAAAACGGCCGCTTGTCTCTGTCCTCTGATATAAACACGGTGGGAGTTGAAAAACACTCGAGAAGCAAGAGAAACACTCGCTACGCTCATGTTCCTAAGCTTGCTTCTCTCGTATTTTTCGAACTCCCACCGTGTTTATATCAGAGGACAGAGACACGCGCGCCGTTTTATATTTCTTAAATAGTTGACAAAAGGTTGTCGTCAACCGGATTTCGCAGCACGCAACCCATCCGAACAGGTGTCAATTTTTCGTCGGGGTATGACATTTTTTTTCAAAGAAAGGCTTTTCTTCTCTTTTTTAAGAATTCGAAGACAAACACTGAACGTTGTTATCAGTATCCTAGATACGACGCGGCTAGATTGCTTGTGAATTTGAAGGTTTCATTCCCCGCCATGATGAAAAACAATATGTAAGATGCAAAAATCACATCACATGCATTCATGATTAAATTCCCGTGATTGAAAATTTTTTGTCACACATTATTTGTCAGTTCTTCCAATCACAAAGACCTCTAATTTGCCAAGTCAATTGATTTTTACCCCGAAAACCGGCCCAATGGGCTATTATTGTAGTCGCGTTTCGTGAAACCCGGTCGACGACAACCTTTTGTCAATGGACGACTATATAATACATGTCTTGGTTTTGGTCTTATGAATGAAAGATAGTGACTAGGAAAGTAAAGGAAATATATATATATTATTTGTATTTCAGCTGATATAAAACTTTTCTTAGGTGGATGGAGTTTTGAAGGTTGCTTGCAGGGGCAGTAGCTTTCATGTCCTTCCTTTATTTATATTAATTATTTATTCGTATTAGATTTAGTAATTTCCTACTTTGGTGTTGTTCATCTGGCTTGGGTTTGTTTGATGTAATTTCTGGTTTGGCTAGCTGAGTGCTTTGTATTAGCTACTGCTTTCTTTGGTTTTGTAGGTTAGCTTTTAGGTCCTAGCCCACGTGCAAGCTCTTTTAGTGCGCGTGTTTTTTGGC